ATCTTAATAAAATTTCCAACCTCCCCCAAAGTGGTTAAGAATACTGAGGTTGCTCTCCTATTTCTGAAAAGTAGTTTCAGGTATCTGGGCTATAATGCAGAAAAAAAGAGAAGTCATAGACTCATGTTGGAACTGGAACTCCATCAAATCCACTGTCCAATTCCACTCAATGTACAGTTGAGATGCTGCTCAGGGTGTTTAAGGACCTGCTCACATGTTACACTTGCTGACCAGACTGGGGAGGTAAGTTTTTGGAGTGGGCATAGGATCACAATCATGTTATATTGATTTACACATGTTTCAACTTTGTCACATTCATTATTTCATTTGGGACAAGAAATACATTCATTTCAGCGCAAGGATATTGAAAATCATGAGATTAAATAGCTTTCTCAAGCATAGGTCTGGGAAGAGAAAATCTTAACACACTGCCTTTAATGAGGGTGATGAGAGAATGATGGTACAAAGAGAACCATGAAGTTGCTGGAGACACAGTGTGGGCGCAAGAGGTTAAAGCTCATATTCAAATAAGTATTACAAGTGCTCTGATGTGGGTATGTCACGGGGAGAAGCATGAAAGAGAGAATGAGAAGCGTGTTTTGGATCAGGTGGAGCCTGATGGCCAGAACTGAGACATACTACAGAGATTTTGGTCACAAAGGGCTTTGGAGGTGTTCCTGGACGAATGGGGAAGGTACAGCCCCAGATACTTTGAGGTAGGACTCCACTCCCTGGTAGTTATGTGGTTTATGATGTGTGCATTCCCAGGGCCTGGTTAAAGTAATAGATTTTAGCTGTTGGCTACAGTTATTGCACAGAGGGAGTGGAAGGGATTCAAGGTATTGGTGTGAAGACTGAAGGGGGAAGGAGCTAAAGGATGATTCAAAACAGTCCCTTCGGGCCTACGTATACTAGAGAGAGGAATATGCATCTAGGAAGAGCTCAAGAAAGGGTATTTCTTCATTATGGATATAAAATGGGGGGAGGGGACCTACAGGTGGTTAGTTCACTGGTGAGGAGAGTACTTTTTCCTAAGAAACTTCAGTCCCAAGGATCATGACACTGAGTTTGGGTTTAAGTCTAATATATAGAGTACTGAGGCTACATCTAGAAATGGCCCTGCACTTGGCAGGCATGTAGGATGTCTGGATGCTGTGTGAGTGCTGAACAGTAGCAAGAAGGAGGAAAAGGGAGGGAAACCTAGGGTGGGCTTTCCTGGGCTCCCCATTTCTATCCTTAATAAAGAAAACAGACAACAATTAGAAGAGAGCCTGGCAGGGCCTGGGCAGATCCCTTACTGACTATGGTTCTGGCCTTATTAGTCCTGGAGGAGGACAATCCTTGGGTTTCTAGAATTGCCCTGAGACTTAGGAAGTGGGAATGGGAATAAGATGCTCCATGTGTGGAGGGACAGAGGCTGATGAGGGGTTGGGGTCATGTTCCCAGAAGGGCAAGGCTGAAAAGGGCCTCTGGTTAGAGGGTCTAAGGAGCTCCCTTCTCTAGGGAGGGATCTTACCTCGGTCCTGGGCCTGGCACAGCCCCACCTCAGTGATCTCTCGACACCAGGCCTGCAGCTCAAGGGTCCCCTCTCACGATGTCATCCCCGTGGTAGAAGAGGTGAACAATCCCCTCCACGTACCTGCCCAGAGAAGGGAGCTGAGCTCCTTGAGAGTAGAAGGCTCTCTGGCTGCTACTCCTTTTCTGTGGTCTCTATCCAGCTGATTCTCATTGTATCTGGGGACAGATCTGATAAGACTTTCCTTTTGGGACATCTGGAGCTCTTTCTACACACTAGTTTAGAAAGGAAATGTGGGACATTAGTTTTAAGAATTCTGCCTGGCCAAAGTGCCTCAGTGGTTGAGTGTGGACCTATGAGCCAGGAGTTCACAGTTCAATTCCCAGTTGGGGCATGTGCCTGGGTTGCTGGCTAGATCCCCGGGAGGGGCTAGCAGGAGGCAACCAATCAATGATTCTCTCTCATCATTGATGATTCTATATCTTTCTCCCTCTCCCTCTCTGAAATCAATACAAATAAATATATTAAAAATAGCATAGTCACTCTTCATAACAAAATCCCTGATCCCACCAGATCCCTTAGTTTCACTCGCCCACACAACTCTGCTTCTTTACGCTATTTCAGCCTTCCCATCCTCAGATCCTACTCTCTGTTCCTCATCTCTTCTAGATTGAGTCCTTTGCCTCTCTTGTCTGGACTTTCTCATTTCATATTCCTTTGGCCTCATGCTGACCTCAGGTTAAAGCCCCATTCCAACTGTTCCCAATACCTTTTATTTCTCCCACTCTCACCCACCGAGCAATGATCTCCCAGAGCCGTAAAGCATCATGGGCATAGAGGGCACTTGGGATTCCCAGTAGGCCCCGGTCAGCCAGATCATCAGGAGGACAGAGGGAGCGGTAGGTCAGCTGAGTCATGGCCCGACGCATCACCTGCACATGGCCGCCTCCACCTGTGCTCCATGCCTGTGACAATAGAAATGAGAGGACTTGAGGGGACAAACAGAGCTGGAGAACATGGCATACTATATAAAGTGGTCAGATGTGGCCTTTTCAGATTCAATGACATTGGCATAAAGGGACAAGGCTCCTGGGTTTAGGGGTCAGGACATTCACACAGGTGATCCCAGAATGTTGAAAGTGACAGGAGTTCATGCAGACTTGGGTGAGTAGGTGGTCCCACAATCCACCTCCTTACCTTATCAAATAAACCTCCATCTGAGATGAGTTGGTTCCGTGCCCTCGTGTTGATGTCCATGGTGTAGCGGGTGTGTGGGATCAGGAGCTGGATGGGGAAGGTTAGAGAGGGTGGTTATTGGAGTCCATGCTTGGGTCCTCCCTTGTTAGGGAGTGGCACTCAGCCTGGTGACGTTCTCTCCCTCTGGATCTTTTCCTCCCTGCTAGTGCCTCTGCAGGCTGGTCTCCTTCTGCTGCTATGATCACTAACTCTCATGCTCTCCCATGACTCTGTGAGTGGGGTTGTGGAGTCTAGAATGACCTGGGCTTGATTCCAGTTT